AAAGACAGGGTCTTACTCTGTTGCCCAGGCTAGATAGTGTTAATGGCACAATCTAGACTCACTTCAACCTCTGTTTCGCGGGTTCAAGTGATTTTCCTGCCTCAGCCTTCCAGGTAGCTAGGTTTACAGGTGCCTGCCACCAGGTCTGGCTAATATTTTTGTATTTTTAGTAGAGACAGGGTTTTACCATGTTGGCCAGGCTGGTCTTGAACTCCTGACCTCAGGTGATTCACCCGCTTTGGCCTCCCACAGTGCTAGGATTACAGGTGTGAGCCACCGTGCCCAGCCTGGGAATCACTTTCGACTAATCTCAGGAAGGACAGAATGCCATCCTTATCTGCTTTCAGAATAACCACTAAGAGCTTAGTAACATTAAAATACATTAAAAACACCAGTTAGATTTTAAAACTATGAAAATGTTAAAAGTACAAAATTTCTCACCTTCTTGAGAACAGTGTGGATTTCATCCATTACTGTAGATAAGTTTCTGATTGTCTTATTCAGTTGGTTTTCAAATTGTAAATTCATGTTTTCTGAAATCTTTAAGTTTTCTTGTAACTGACTAAGGTCCTTTTTAACTTCTCTGAGTTCACCAGAGAGGCTTTTGTTGGAATTCTCCAAATTTAATATGGTTTTTTCATCTTCCTCTGTTTAAAAAAATCCAAAAATTAATACTTAAAGCTCCTTAAAATTTCCAATTTAACTTTGAAGTTAAAATATTTAAGCTGTGAAAATAAAAAGCTGATAAATTCCATAAAATGGCAATATTTCTCAATTTCATTAGTCATAAGGCACATTGAAATATTAATTTCATTTATTTATTTATTTATTTTTGAGACCGAGTCTAACTCTGTTGCACAGGCTTGAGTGAAGTGGCACGATCTCGGCTCACTGCAACCTCTGCCTCCCGTGTTCAAGTGATTCTTCTGCCTCAGCCTCCCGCATAGCTTGGACTATAGGAACATGGCACTGCACCCAGGTAATTTTTGTGTTTTTAGTAAAGACAGGGTTTCACCATGTTGGTCAGGATGGTCTCAAACTTCTGACCTCGGGCAATCCGCCCACCTCGACCTCTAAAAGTGATGCTATTACAGGTGTGAGCCACCGTGCCTGGCCTGTTTCATTCAAATTAATTAATTTTTTTTTTTTTTGAGACGGAGTTTCACTCTTGTTACCCAGGCTGGAGTGCAATGGCGCGATCTCGGCTCACCGCAACCTCCGCCTCCTGGGTTCAGGCAATTCTCCTGCCTCAGCCTCCTGAGTAGCTGGGATTACAGGCACACGCCACCATGCCCAGCTAATGTTTTGTATTTTTAGTAGAGACGGGGTTTCACCATTTTGACCAGGACGGTCTCGATCTCTTTACCTTGTGATCTACCCACCTTCAAATTAATTTTTAACTCATATTATTTCAAAATCTGTGTTCTATTTTTAGATGACTGTATAAATTAGAGAACACAGACTGGTAAAAACTGAAACTAGAAGATGATTAAAAGGATGCAACAGAATAACAATGAACCTGAGAAGAATGCACACCAAGACCTAAGATTCAGATAAAGCTAAGCAATTTTATAACATGAACCAGAAATAAAAAGTAAAGTTTCTGGCAGGGTGCAGTGGCTCATGCCTGTAATGCTCGCACTATAGGAGGCCAAGGCAGGTGATCACTTGAGGTCAGGACTTTGAGACTGGCCTGGCCAACAGGGCAAAACCCCATCTCTACTAAAACTACAAAAAAATAACTAGGCCTGGTGGCACAAGCCTATAATCTCAGCTACTTGGGAGGCTGAGGTGGGAGAATCACTTGGACCCTGGAGGCAGTAGCTGCAGTAAGCTGAGATGTTCCACTGCACTCCAGCCTGGGGACAGAGTGAGGCCCTGTCTCAAAATACATAAAAAATTTAAAAAGCAAAGTTCCTTACAACCTCGATGAAAATATGTGGTATACGTATGCAAATGTGTATATAAGCATGTACGTGTATGTACATACATAAATATGTACATAACCCAGCATGGTGCTTAAAGTATGAAGATATCCAATGCTGACCCTTACCTGTTTTTTCTTCCAGTAACTGCAGCTTCTGTTCTACTTCAGCTCTTACTTTTTCGCTCTTTTCTAATTTTTGCAAGAGGCTTCCTACATCTACCATTGCACCATTGTACACGATGAGGCCAACATTTTGTTCCACATCCTTTGATTCCTGCTTTACTGTTGGTGTTGGAAGTAATAATCTGTTTCCTATAATATAAAATATACCACATTTTAGTAAGTTATTTTTCTTCTTTAATTACTAGTATATTTATCGAAAAGTAAAATCTTAAAATAATATGTTCATACCTAGCATATCTTCCTGCAATGACTCAGACTCTTCATGGTTTTCATCATCTTTTGAGGTGTCTGTTAATTTCCGGTAAAAGCAAGATTCACGGAGCACTACTTTATTAAGAAGCTTCTTTACCTGTAATGCAAGCAAGTCAACAAAATAAAGAGATGAAAATACATTTTTGATTCTCTTAGAACAGCTATGTTGTAATTTTTGCTTTTTTTTTTTTTTTTTTGAGATGGAGTCTTGCTCTATTGCCCAGGCTGGAGTGCAGTGGTGCGATCCCAGCCCATTACAACCTCCACCTCCTGGATTCAAGTAATTCTCCCGCCTCAGCCGCCAGAGTAGCTGGGATTACAGGCACCCACCATCATGCCCAGCTAATTTTTGTATTTTTTTGTAGAGACAGGGGTGGACAGGCTGGTCTTGAACTGCTGACCTCAGGTGATCCACCTGTCTTGGTCTCCCAAAGTGTTGGGATAACAGGTGTGAGCCACCATGCCCGGCTGTAATTTTCACTTATGATGGATATCTATGGAACTGAGTAAGATCCAAGTTACTTTTGAAAAATTGTTAAAAAGTATAACATTGATAAAAATATATGCACAGGAATGTTTATTACAGCATAGTTGGTAAATCCAAGAAATGAAAACCACCAGCAACAGAGACCAGGTAGGTCAATTATGGTACATGTATATAATGGGTACTATGTAGCTATAAACAAAGCTATAAAAAGAATGAGGCAGGTCTCTATTTTCACAGTAGACTGTCTATAGTATACTGTGGAATATAAAAAAAAAAAAAAAAAAGCCAATCAAAATGATTCCATGTTTTGTTTATAAAAATGGAACTGAACTGATTACGAAAAGATCTAGAATTTTATATATTTTTAGTCCTAAGGAACAGAAACAGACGGAGAGGGAGAGGGGAAGTATTTAAAATTGGCTTGTGTTATATTGCTTTATTATTATACTTTTTAGACGCAGTCTCATACAGTCACCCAGGCTGCAGTGCAGTGGCGTGATCTCGGCTCACTGCAACATCCACCTCCTGGGTTCAAGTGATTCTTCTGTCTCAGCTTCCCAAGTAGCTGGTATTACAGGCGCATGCCACCACACTTGGCTAATTTTTGTATTTTTAGTAGAGATGGAATTTCGCCATGTTGGCCAAACTGGAACTCCTGGCCTCAAGTGATCTGCCCGCCTTGGCCTCTCAAACTGCTGGGTTTATAGGTGTGAGCCACCACGCCTGGCTATTACATTGCTTTAATATATCAAAAAGTCAGTAGAGGTTCTATTAACTTTTCATTGGAAAAAGTTACTTTTTGAAAAGTTACTAAAAACGTTTTCATTTTAAATATTTATAAGACAGATTACCTGAGCCCGAGAAAGATGTAGTCCAAGAGTATAAAGTATTTCTTCCAAATCCTTTTCAAGAAGGTAACCACAATGACTTTGATCAAAATAAACAAAAGCCATTAACAGATCTCTGTTAATTGTGATCATTTGAGTCTTTTCTTTTTCCTAGGAAAATGCAGAAGTAGAAGACATATATTCAATTTTTTCTTTTTTTGAGATGGAGTTTCGCTCTTGTTGTCCAGGCTAGAGTGCAATGGCATGATCCTGGCTCACTGCGATCTTCCTCTCCCAGGTTCAAATGATTCACATCCTGCGTCAGCCTCCAGAGTAACTGGGATTACAGGCATGCGCCACCATGCCCGGCTAATTTTATATTTTTAGTAGAGACAGGGTTTCACCATGTTGGTCGGGCTGGTCCCGAACTGCTGACCTCAGGTGATCTGCCTGCCTCTGCCTCCCAAAGTGCTGGAATTACAGGTGTGAGCCACCACGCCCAGCACAGTATTCAAATTTTTTACCCCCTGAAAAGTGAGAAATGGAGACTGCATATAACAGCGATAATCTAATAAGATATTTGCCTCGTCCTAAATAAAATGAGTTAGTTTGGTATATGAATGTGAGAGAAAGGAATCAGACATACTATTTATCTGACACAGCCACAAACACAAAAAACAAATGGCAAAAATTTTACTTAGTGGTAATATAGATGTATAGGACTAATAAACTTCACAACTGTGTTATATTTAGATGATGTAAGACATCCCCATATTATAAAGAATACAGTATTCAAATACCTTATCTTTAGAGGGCCTCTCCTTGCAGTATCTGTTGATATCTCTTTTGTCATCTCGTTTGGTCATTTCTTCCTCATCCCTATCTGTAAAAAACACATACAACAGTGGCAAAAGAAGTCATTAATACACATATTTTCAAATTGGGCACAGTGGCCCATGACTGTTATCTCAGCTACTCAGGAGGCCAAAGCAGGAGGATAACTTAAGACCAGGAGTTGGAGACTGAAGTGAGCTATGACTGCACCACTGCACTCCAGCCTGGGTGACAGATCAAGACCCTGTCTTTTAAACGACAAAAATATGAAGAAAAACCTCATGCTAAAACAGGCATGAACCTTGATAACAAGCTCAGTAAAAGAAGATAGTCACAAATAAATCACTTATTATGTGATTCCATTTATATGAAATATCCAGAATATCTACAAAAACAAAAAGCAGACTAATGGTTGCCTAGGACTGAAGAAGTTCAGGAGAGATGGCAAGTGAATTCTAATGAGTCTCTTTTGGGTTCTGGGTTTCTTTTGAGGGTGATAAAAATGTTCTAAAGTTAATTGTGGTGATGGCTGTACAACTCTGAATATATTAAAAGACCACTGACTCGTATACAGGCACAACCTGGGAGTTATTTTTTTTATTTTTATTTTTTGAGACGTAGTTTCGCTGTTGTTGCCCAGACTGGAGTGCAATGGCACGATCTCGGCTCACCGCAACCTCCGCCTCCTGGGTTCAAGCAATTCTCCTGCCTCAGCCTCCCGAGTAGCTGGGACTACAGGCACGCACCATCATGCCCAGCTAATTTTTGTATTTTTAGTAGAGACGGGGTTTCACCGTGTTGACCAGGATGGTCTCGATCTCTTGACCTCGTGATCCACCCACCTCGGCCTCCCAAAGTGCTGGGATTATAGGCGTGAGCCACCGCGCCCGGCCACAACTTGGGAGTTATTAAAGGCTCTGGTTCCAGACCACCCCAATAAAGCAAGTACTGCAATAAAGCTAGTCAACAAACACATTTTTTGGTTTTCCAGTGCACATAAAAGTTATGTTTACAGCCAGGCATGGTGGTTCATGCCTGTAATCCCAGCACTTTGAGAGGCCGAGGCAGGTAAAACACTTCGGCTCAGGAGTTTGAAACCAGCCAGTGTAACATGGCAAAACTCCATCTCTACAAAAAAATACAAAAATTAGCCAGGCATGGTAGCACACGCCTATAGTCTCAGTTGCTTGGAGGGCTAAGATGGGAGAATCACTTAAGCCTGGGATGTTGAGGCTTCAACGATCCATGTTCACGTTACTGTACTCTGGCCTGTCTCAAAAAAAAAGTTATGTTCATACTATACTCTAGTCTATTAAGTGTGCAATAGCATTACACCTAAAAAGAGTATACACATTAAAAGATACTTTATTGCTAAAAGCACTAACAATCACCCCAGCCTTTGGAAAGTGGTAAGCTTTTTGCAAGTAAAGGGTCTTGCCTTAGCCAGAGCAACATAATGAGACCCCCATCTCTACAAAAATACTGTAAAATTAGAGTTAATCGCTGGGCATGGTTTATAGCACACCTATAAACCCAGCACTTTGGGAGGCTGAGGCAGGTAGATCACTTGAGGTAACGAGTTCAAGACTAGCCTGGCCAACATGGTGAAACCCAGTATCTAGAAATACAAAAATTAGCTGTCTGTGGTGGCCTGTGCCTGTAGTCCCAGCTAGTTGGGAGGCTGAGGCTGGAGAATTACTTGAATCCGGGAGGCAGAGGTTGCAGAGAGCCACGATTGTGCCACTGTACTCCAGGCTGGGTGACAGAGCGAGACTGCTTATTTAACTAAGTTTACGTCATACTCTAAATCTAATACTCTGAATTATTTCAACAATGTTTACAACATCTTCACAGAAGTAAAATGTATCTCAAAAAAACACTTTCATGACTGGGTGCGGTGGCTCACGCTTATAATCTCAGCACTTTGGGAGGCCAAGGTGGGCGGATCACCTGAGGCCAGGAGTTCAAGACCTGCCTGGCCAACACGGTAAAACCCTGTCTCTACTAAAAATACAAAAAATTAGCTGGGCGTGATGGCAGTCGCCTGTAATCCCAGCTACTTGGGAGGCTAAGGCAGGAGAACCACTTGAACCCAGGAGGTGGAGGTTGCAGTGAGCCGAGATCACGCCATTGCACTGCAGCCTGGGTGACAAGAACAAAACTATATCAAAATAAAACAAAACACTTTCTCTGCTCATCCATAAGAAGCAAACAATCACCTGTTTAGTTTTATCCTGATATTGCAGCAGGTCCATCCCATCTTCAGGCTGCATTTGTGTTTGTTTTTTTTTTTTTTTTTTTTTTTTTGAGATAGAGTTTCCCTCGTTACCCAGGCTGGAGTGCTATGGCACAATCACAATGCAACCTCCACCACCCAGATTCAAGTGATTCTCCTGCCTCAGCCTCCCGAGTAGCTGGGATTACACACATGCGCCACTACGCCTAGCTAATTTTTTCTATTTTTAGTAGAGATGGGGTTTCTCCATGTTGGTCAGGCTGATCTTGAACTCCTGACCTCAGGTGATCCGTTGCCTCGGCCTCCCAAAGTGTTGGGATTACAGGCGTGAGCCACTGCACCCGGCTTCAGGCTGCATTTCTAATTTTAGTTCTTTTGCTCTTTCTACCACAGCTGCAGTTATTCCCTCTACTGAATTCTTGAACCCAACATAGTAAGACCCTGTCCCTAAAAATCAAAATAACTAAATTTAAAAAGGAAATGTTTTTCATAAAAAGTAGGACTTGAAAGCTGAGACCAGGCACAGTGGCTCATACCTGTAATCCTTGGGAGTCCAAGGTGCCAGATCACTTGAGGTCAGGAGTTCGAGACCAGCCTGGCCCACATGGTGAAACCCTGCTTCTACTAAAAATACAAAAATTAGCTAGGCATGGCGATGCATGCCTGTAATCCCAGCTACTTGGATGAGGTGGGAGGATCACTTGAGGCCAGGAGGTCCAAGGCTAGACTGGGCTGAGCCATGATCATGCCACTGCATTCCAGTCTGCATGACAGAGCGAGCCATCTTAAAAAAAAACTGGTGAGTTGAAATTACTTTTTGATCCAAGGGCTGCAGAACAGATGTTGCAGCCATGAAACATTAATCTCCTTTTACATCTCCATCAGAGCTCTGGGTGACTAGGTATGGTGTCAGTGAGAAGCAGTATTTTCCTAAGAATCTCTTCTGAGCAGTAGATCTCAACAGTGGGCCTAAAATATTTAGTAGAAACTTAGGTTACATGGTAAGAGTAAAAAAAAAAAAAAAAATCAGCCAAACATTGCTATAAGCAGTTGTGCTGTCATCCAGACTTTGTTGTTCAATTTCTAGAGCACAAGTACAATTGGTTTAGCATAATTCTTAAGGGGCTTAGGATTTTTGGAATGGTAAATAAATACTGGCTTCAGCTTAAAGTCACAAGCTCCATTAGCCCTAACAAGAGAGCCAACTTGGCCTTTGAAGCTGGGCAGTGACTGCTCCTCTCTAGCTATGAAAGTCTTAGATGGCATCTTCACCCAATGGAAGATGGCTGTTTGTCTCCATTGAAAATTTGTTTAGCATAGCCATTTTCATCAAGTATCTAAGCTTCAACATAGCACTTGCTGTTTCAATGTGCTTTAACTGTCCTCGCCGCCCCAAGTCAGGGTCTTGCTCTGTCAACCAGGCTTGAGTACAGTGGCATACTCATAGTTACTGCAGCCTTAAATGCCTGGGCTTAAGCAATCTTCCCACCTCAGCATCTACCTTGTACTTTACCTTATGGAGATGGTTGCTTTCCTTAAACCTCATTAACTCACCACTGATAGCCTCAAACATTTCTCCACAGCTTCTTCACCTCTCTTAGCCTTCACAATATTCAAGAGTCAGGGCCTTGTTCAGAATTAGGCTTTGCCTTAAGGGAATGTTGTGGCTGGTGTGACCTATTCTGACACCTACAACTTTCTCCTTATAGCAGTAAAGCTGTTTTATTTTCTTACCATTTGCATGTTCGCTGGAGTTGCACTTAATTTCCTTCAAGAACTTTTCCTTTGCATTCACAATATAGCTAACTGATGAAAAAACCTAGCTTTTGGCCTATCTCAATTTTCAACATGCCTTCTTCACTCACCTTTACTATTTTGAAGTTCACTTGAACACTCGAAGGCCATTGTAGGTTTCTTTGTTATTACCATTATTATTTTTGAGACAGAGTCTTGCCCTGTTGCCCAGGCTGGAGTACAGTGGCACAATCATGACTCACTGCAGCCTCAACCTAGTGGGTTCAACAGATCCTCTAGTACCTCAGCCTCTAAAAGTAGCTGGGACCACAGTGCATGCTACTATACCCGGCCGCTAATTTTCTTTTATTGTAGAGATGGGGTATCACTATGTTGCTGATGCTGGTCTAAGTCCTGGCATAAAGTGATCCTACCTCTTTAGCTTCCCAAAGTGCTGGTATTACAGGCATGAGCCACCGAGCCCAGTCCAATGCTGCACAGGCTGGAGTGCAATGGTATGATCTCAGCTCACTGCAACATATGCCTCCCACGTTCAAGCAATTCTCCTGCCTCAGCCTCCTGAGTAGCTGAGATTACAGGTACCGACCACCATGCCTGGCTAATTTTTGTACTTAAGAGTAGAGGTGGGGTTTCACCATGTTGGCCGGGCTGGTCTTGAACTCCTGACCTCAGGTGATCGGCCTGCCTCGGCCTCTCAAAGTGCTGGGCTTACAGGCGTGAGTAACCGCGCCTGTAACTGGTCTAATTTCTTTTCTTTTTTTTGAGACAGTCTCACTCTGTCACCCAGGCTGGAGTACAGCGGCATGATCTCAGATCATTGCAATCTCCGCTTCGTTGGTTCAAGCGATTCTCATGCCCTCAGCCTCCTGAGTAGCTGGGTTTACAAGCGTGCACCACCACAACCAGCTATTTTTTTCTATTTTTAGTAGAGCTGGGTTTTCGCCATGTTGGCCAAGTTGGTCTCAAACTCCTGACCTCAAGTGATCCGCCCACCTTGGCCTCCCAAAGTGCTGGGATACCAGGCCTGAGCCACCATGCCTGGCACAATTGGCCTAATTTCAGTATTCTGTCTCAGGGAATAGGGAAGCCCAATAAGAGGGACAGAGACAGGGAAATGGCAGGTTGGTAGAGTGATCAGAACACAAATAATATTTATAATTAAGCTCATCATCTTCTATGGGCACAGCTCAAGGTGCCCCAAAACATGTATAATAGTAATATCAAGACCGGGTGCAGTGGCTCACGCCTGTAATCCCAGCACTTTGGGAGGCCAAGGTGGGTGGATCATGAGGTCAAGACATTGAGACCATCCTGGCCAACATGATCAAACCTCATCTCTACTAAAAATACAAAAATTAGCTGGGCGTGGTGTTGCATGCCTGTAATCCCAGCTACTCAGGAGGCCAAAGCAGGAGAACTGCTTGAACCTGGGAGTGGAGTGAGCTGAGATTGTGCCACTGCACTCCAGCCTGGAGACAGAACAAGACTCCATCTCAAAAATAAATAAAAAATAGTAGTATCAAAGATCACTGATCACAGATCACCAAAACAGAAATAATAATGAACAAGTTGAAAATACTGTTAAGAATTACCAAAATATGACAGAAAGACAAAGTGGAACATGCTGTTGGGAAAGCGGTGCTCATAGGCTTGCTGGGTGTAAGGCATTATCTGTGCAGCACAATAAATTTCAGTGCAAAAAAAACACAAAGCACACCTATACTTTAAAGGGCCTAATTGTATAGTATGTAAATTATATTTCCATAAAGGTGTTATTAAATAAAAAATTAAGCAAATGTTCTAATGGCTGGATGTGGTAGCTCATGCCTATAATCCCATCATTTTGGGAGGCCAATGGCCACTCTGGGAAGGAAGCAAGAGGATGGCTTAAGGCCAGGAGTTTGAGATCAGTCAGGGTGTGAGAATCGCTTGAATGCACAAGGTGGAGGTTACAAAAATACAAAAACATAGTTGAGTCCCCATCGCTATAAAAAATTCAAAAATTAGACAGGTGTGGTGGTACATGCCTGTAGTCTCCACTACTCAGGGAACTAAGGTG